TTCATACTCATTAAGTAGGGCAGTATATGAAATTCTTAACCTGATATTTGCAGCCGATTTCGAAGAATAAACGTAATTATAGAACCGTTCCACAGTGATTTGCATTGACTAACCTAGCTTGAACAAGCTTCCTATCGGAAAATAATTGACCAATACCTAGAGAACAACAAAATTTGAAAAATTGCATTATCAAATGTTATTTTTGACCATCTCAATTAAAAAATGACTGATGTATTATGAAGGAGATTGTATGTCAAAATAAAGTTCAATAAAGCCTGTGCATTTTTAAGGATTAATTTGCTATTGTATTGGTCTCATTTGAGATGCAGTTGTTGGTGTTCTTATTAAACTGTCATAAAAATGGTTTGATGATGAAATAGATCTGGTCATTAATTTCATAAATGCAACACCAAAACTGTCGAACGCCAGTGTTAGTCAAACTGCCTCGAGTAATAAAAGGACCAGAAGCTACAAATACAAGCTTTATGAGTCTTTAGTGGCATTTTAAACATACAAAATTGAAAGGAAGGGTTTGCTGAACAGATGCAGATATTTTATTTTAAGAATCAAGCTTTCAGTATTTCCGAACATCTATCTGTGCTTACCTAATTTATTCCTTGCGTCATGCAAGGAATTTCGTTCTCAGGAGAGGCAACACTTTTAAGCCGTAAAAAAGAACTTCTAACAGTAATACAAACAAACTGTCACCTGTTTTGTAGAATGTTTGGTTACTTACACCCGATTCGCCCTTCACTCCTTGGAGATTGTAGATGACAGCCAGTTCAGGTATGACTCCGTATGCTATACTATCATTCATGGACTTACAAAAATATCACTAATGAGTTCTGACGAAGTTGTAACCTTTTAATTTATAAATGACTTTCACAAATCACGAACTGATCACAGAATCAGGTTTCTTGCAATGCAGCCTTAAGAGTGAATATTAACTGGTGTTATCACTGGAAATGACAAAGAAACAGACTCTAAGTTGCAACTATTCCTGTTCATCATATCAGTGTATGAATTTCTGATGAGAGCAGCAATTTTATGCATTTTGTTAGATAAATCAGCAATCGCTTTCGCAACTACAGTACATGAGGTATAACTACTGTAAGGTCGAGTGTTTTAAAATTTAGTAGAGCTTCAACTTACTAGTTAGCAACGGCTTCCGAAGATGATGTAATCAGTAACGAAATCAAGAACTGATCTATTAGTATCTAGTAAATACATACTTAGCTATGAGTGAAAATTGTCCAGTTAAGATGCTGACAACCAGAAGCTCAAATGGAACTCGTTCAATTTCCGTTTAGGTTAACTGTGACTTTTCAGTTGGACACAAATATTTATTCAATTTAGGTTCAACAGTCCTAACAATCTTTAGATTGTGTATAATTATCGAATCGCTCCTTCGACTTTTCCGTTTAACAGGACAGCGTATCCTTTCGGTCTATATAGATGTTGTTGTAACCCAGTAATTCAGTAAACACATTTTGCGATTCCCCGGCTTTGTTTAGTAATCCGAAAAAGTGATTTTATATGATAAAACCATGTATGTGTCCGTACCTTAGTGAATAATATGCATCATGATGCACTTGGATGCATTTATAGGCAACTACCAAAAATTCTGAACCATTTACATAATTACTATAAGTCACTTTGAAGCTCCAAACTATTAGCTTCGTGCTTTATGGCACTTAGTATCTTGATATCATCAGCACACTAACAAACTCGTGATAGTAAGCAGATGGGGGTGATAATGTTGGATAGAATTCTCGAAAGACCTTTGGTGGAAAAGGATATATGATCTGACATCAATTTAAGTCAAAGATATATCATTCTGTACCGAGTGGAGGGGAAAAGCCTGATTAACTTATGAATAATCCTCCTAGAAACCAGTAATTTGTGGAGTGTCGCAAGGATTTATTTTATGTCGTTTACTTTTTAAATAATGTGTAAATGAACTCCTGATCATCGTTAAGTAGCTGGAGCCACTCTGTGCTGATGAGTTTAAAACTTGGTGAGAAATTACAGGGTTTGAAAACTCAAGCGCACTTCAAGCTGTCTTAGGCATTCTGGTTAGCTGGTCGAAAACATGGCTAGTGCCTTCATATCCACATGTACATTGGAGATAGAAAGACAAATACGTACATTACTAGCGTAAAGTCGATGCCCGTAATCCGGTAATGTAAATATCTTCGGTTTTTAGTAAGCAACGATCTGAAGACCACAACTCATTGCCTCTGGTTGCAGCTAGCATGTTCAGGCTTTAAGACGGACACCTAACAAGGTAGAAATCAGTATCTTCAGTACAGTATAATGCCAAAACGCTATTCAGCCATATGAATAGGTAAATTTCGTACCGAAATCCAAGACTAACCAACTCAGATGTGATTGGTTCGTTTACAAACTAGGGTTTGATAGACATTTAACGGCTTGCTATGCAGCGTCTATCACATATTTGAACTACTGTAGGTTGGTTGGTTGTCCATGGATGGAATAGTTTTTAGGTTGGCCTTTCTCTGTACCTAAATCGCAAAATCGTTCCACACCACACATAATGACCTTCTTATCTAATGTAGTATACACTTCAGTACTGTTCGTTGCGCTTATTAGACTACAGTTATTTGAAAATGTGTGGCCGTGAGACATGATCTAAAATCAGTATTTTGTTCACATAATATCCCGGCTATTCATATTAGTGTATATAGAAATATAGTTAGAAACTACTTTGAATATCATCTAAATGTGAGTATGAGGTTAAACATAAGCTAAAAGTCAATCCAATCAAAATTGTGATTTTGAAATCAATACTTCTTATTTGCTATCATTAGAGATGATATACTGCCCAATGTTTCCAGCTACACATATGTCTGCAAGATGATAAGTGAATGCTACCTATGAGGCTATAAAGGCGATCATAAGTTGTAACCAAAGTTAGTTTAATTACCAACCCCCGGTCCCTGATAACTGCATGAAATTTGTTCCAGCGTTTTGATAAATTCAACTATGATGGTGCAGAAATATTTATTAACTCGGGATAAAGTTTCTACTTTGAGACTCGTCTAGCTAAGTTGTTAGATTGGTGCAGTAAGATAATACCTTATTACGGCTACCTCGTGGTTGCCAATAGTCGTAACTATGGTAAACCTTTGCCTGAACAGCTAAAATGATTGCCAAACTCATAAATTTAGGTACGTAATTATAATCAGATATGTCCCTGTCCAACCGTTGTTCTTAAATCCTTACTTAACTATAACTATGTTCAGCCTCAGTAAGTGGTTTCCTCTGGATAAAAGTTTCTTCGTTAAACTTGTTTTATCCTTGTTCTCCGCCTGAAAAGTCTCTGGTTCCCACACTCTTTTACTTACTCAGTTGCTCCTGGTAATCTTTTATATTGAAACCCATACTATATCATTTGCCATTGTTAAATACAGTTTCGAAACAGTACCAACGGTCTTCCAACATAAATATCCGATACGCATGTGTATGCTATGCTATTTTGCGTCGGAGAATTTTGCTTTTTCAACATACATAAAGGAAAAAGCAAAATTCTCCGATGTAACACAACATGCACAAACCAAATCACTCTTGATGGAGATGCCTTGGAGGACGTCAACACCTTTAAATATCTTGGCAGCATCATCGACAATCAAGGTGGATCGGATGCAGATGTGAGGGCGCGGATTGGCAAAGCAAGGGCTGCATTTCTACAGTTGAAAAATATCTGGAACTCCAAACAACTTTCAACCAAAACCAAAATCAGGATTTTCAATACAAATGTCAAGACAGTTCTACTGTATGGAGCGGAAACTTGGAGAACTACGAAAGCCATAATCCAGAAGATACAAGTGTTTATTAACAGTTGTCTACGCAAAATACTTCGTATTCGTTGGCCAGACACCATCAGCAACAACGAACTGTGGGAGAGAACAAACCAGATTCCAGTGGAGGAGGAAATCAGGAAGAAGCGGTGGAAGTGGATAGGACACACATTGCGAAAAGCACCTAACTGCGTCACGAGACAAGCCCTCACATGGAACCCTCAAGGCAAAAGGAAAAGAGGAAGGCCAAAGAATACATTACGCCGAGAAATAGAGAAAGATATGAGAGGAATGAACAAACATTGAACAGAACTGGAGAGAGAAGCCCAGGACAGAGTTGGTCGGAGAAAACTGGTGGGCGGCCTATGCTCGATTGGGGGTAACAGGCGTAAGTAAGTAAGTAATGGAAAACAGAACTTGGAAGCAAGGCATGATTTATATCTGACAATCAAATTCAATAAACCTAAAGTCAAAAAAAGAGGGACGGTAGAGTTGCTGACCACCAACAAACATCGATATAGAGGGCGATGATTTCAGCCCATCTATTTTTGTGGGACAGAGCATTCTGTCTTGGGGTTACTTGGGTAATAATAACTTTTTGACTAATTGGTTACACGACGATCATAAAGGAAGATAAGTGGCCATCACAGTTTGCTGTTTTCAAAGACGTTTATATTAACAAATAGAGTACCACAAGATTTCATCCTCTAACCATTATAATTTTTGCTACTTGCCGACAATAAGCTGAGAAACATATGTTGTCAGACATGGTTAGACAGCGAGGATATTAAGATTTGGAGTGAAATACGGCTCTTTAAAAAAATATTTACTCTTCAAGAAGACTTGAGCACGACAAATAATCAAACCATTATTTCATCCCTCAGGCCCCGAAATAATAAGGCAAAATCCATAATTATGTCTCGCAAATATCTCTCCTGGTTCTAAAGAGCAGATTGCAAGAAGCTAACCATCCTCTGCTTTTGTCCTACTAAGTGCGATGTTTGAGAAAACAAAGGTGCTACAAATATGTATGTAAGCGAAAGTTGAAAATCTAAAACTCTTGGACTATCACTTCTTTCAGCCATTATCTCATCATTTGGAATAATTCGATAAATTTGTTTTATGACACCAAGTAGTGAATCCAAGCTTACATTGCAAGCGGGTTCTTTGTTTTGGTGTGTAATTCAGCGTTTGGTCGCAATTTATGCTGAATAATTCAGTCTTCGAAAACCAATCTCCTTTTAATACGACGTGGAATTATTCTTGGTTTAAGTTGATGGTTTATATTTAGAAATGGATCTGCAGATCGTGTACTAATACTCGTAGGTTGATTTTATCACTGTGATTTTTGCCTCACGTTTTTTAAAGTTACATATAATTTTAAAGCTCTCAAGTTACTTGAGTACAACAGTATCTTTTGCATTTTTTTGGCTTTTCAACATTTGTCTAGACACCTATCTTTTGGAAACCTTCAGTTTACAAAATTACCTAGCCATCCTCCTAACCAAAATATGTGACCATTTACGTCACTAGTTCAAAACACCAGTACTAAACAATATGAGTTAGAATCTTGCCATGAGCCACATCACAGTCAACTGGTTACCTCAACTTGTCCTTACCAATTTAATTATGAGTCTCATATGTGATGACATCTAGCAGTTAGAGTGCTGCAATTTTTGTCTCCTTTACTAGAAAATTTCATAATTACTTTATCGAAACCGTCTGTGGCATATATTTTCAGAATGTAATGTTAATAGCACCTTTTCATAGTAGGTTAACTGCCTTTGGACTAAAAATAGCATGTCTCTTTCTGTTTCCTAATTTTAAAGAGTTCGGTTTATCCGTTTAAATTTCTTGTTAGAAAAGTAAGTCAATGTGATAAAATCTGGTGTTCGATTTCATGAGGCGAACTGTTTTTGATAGTTTTAAACTTGATTTGATCAAAAATCCTTTAATATTTCGTTTGTTCTTGCTTAACATGTTCATGCCTAGATAAAGTTTAAGATAAACCTCTGTTGAAAGTGAAGTCTACTTTCGTACTTGCATATTCTCATAGCTCTTGATCATACCCATGTTTTTTTACCTACCAACTTCCTAAATGCTCTTTGTTTATTAGAACCAACACAGCTGCAGCTAAGTTGTTGATATCTTACGTACTTAACATTTATTAAAAAAACATTCGGTACAACTGGGGAGTAAAACTCAGATGTCACACAAATGCAGGAATAGCATCTCAAGAGGTATGAAAAAGGAATACTATCGAAAAGAATAATAAGTGGCTTGAATAGTATGTATTGAGAGAATCGATTCCAACTAACAATACATCTGACAGGTTTATTTCAGGCAAGGAAGTTCCTTCTATTTTGTAGAAGTAAACTAAAGGCTGATGACTGGCTTCTATTCTAGGCGGCGTCTTATAATATATCAATCCACTGATTAGAACTGTCTCTGAGAGCCCAGTCTAAGTGTGGGATGAAACAAAATCCCAATCGTATACAGCTGTTTTTCACACTATGGTGCCATGTCTTGATTTGACCATCTCCCAACTTTTTCCACCCAACCCCAACGTCGTCCATTGATCTATAATCTTAAGGTTACTGGAATGAAATTCTTAAAACATGTCAAAATCACTGAAGTTAGTCAGTCAGTTACAACGTAGAAATTCGTACGTACGTACATCAGTTCAGGTAGCCATACCACATTAGCACAGTGTTATTATCTCTCTAATAAACCCAGCTATTCCTACTGCTTAGTATTCTCTGACAACAATACACTCAAAAAGTCCCCAAATTGTCCGCAATTGTAACTTCAAATCATATAGTAGTAGAGGTAGTAGAAGTATTAGCAGTAATCGGAGAGATTAGGGTTCCATGATATTATTCACGAAGTAGAATTCAGTGAAATAAACTTGAAAGCGTGATAATGGTGATCAGCAACTCCGAGGTTGGGACTTGAGAGAACACAACGAATGCACCGCACTTGTTTAAAAGCCCTAGCCGCCAGAAACGGAAATCCGTGAGGTAAGGCAAAATGTGATATTTATAGGATCAACCTTTTCTAACCCCTTTCTTGATTGTGGGAGGGTAGCATCGCTGCAGATGCTGGTTGTCTGAGGGAAACGCCTTACTGCTGTCTCACCCCTCTGCAGTGAACAGTACGACTTCGCCCTCAGATCCTGAGTAGCTGTTTTTAGTCTCGTCATTCTCCGATCGACCTGCCTGGCATGCTAGAACCTTCAGGAACATATGTTCCAGCCAATATAGCTTTGTTGGGTCAACCCAATAGGCAAGCCCGACCACCACGTCAAGGTAGCGTCTACGGTTGGGTAACGATTTTGGGCCATGTCATTCAAGGTCTCTAACCATCAGTTGCTATCGTCTGGCGCGCCTCAACCAGGTAGTCGACAACTACCAACACTACTCACTCCACTTGTCAGTGACTTCATGCATTTCTGCCATGTTTTGGCGTGGCCATCACTAGCTTTATTCCAACCTACTCATACACCACAAAACATCACTTGCCGAGGCCGACGGTGGTTAGACATACGTAACACATGTCCCAACCACCTCAACTAATGAGCTTTCAATACTTCATCTATCGATCTGCCATCTCTACCTAGTTCTCGTTTCCTAACAACAACATTGCCTACTCAGTTGTCCTATGATACACGAGCAATGTTTCAAACACACCTATGATCGAAAAACCAGTAACCTACGAATATCCTCTACTCTAACTGGCCATGTTTCACAGCCACAAAGTAGGACGGAGTGAACTGCTGCGCGGTACATTCGTCCTTTAGTCAGTAAATCGATATCTCGCCTACGCCATGAGTGACGCAGGTTGTTAAAAACCAATCGAGCCTTGTGTATCCGTGCTGAGATTTCGTCAGTCACCAGGCCATCAGCACTGATGAGACTCTCCAGATAAGTGAAGCCGTTAACACACTCAACCGCTTCACTCACTCCCTATCACTAGTTCAAGTGCCGATGCAAGACAATACTGAAGCAATGTTTCAAATTTCGAGCAGGAGATTCACATCCCGAACATGTTTGCATTGTTGCTTAGGGTAGTCAGGAGACACTGCATTTTGTCAGCGTCTTCACCAGGTAGAACTATATAATCTGCATAATCTAGGTAAGCAGCTAAATCTCCAGGGAAAAGTTCAACCCCTGAAAAGTCAGACGAACATAATGTTATATCTAGAAGCATGTCTATGCCAAGATAGAAGCAAGAACGGAGAAAGTGAACATCTCTGACAGACACCACTTGAAGTAGAGAATTCTGATGACAGTTCGCCATAATCTCTAACTCGACCAATGGTGTTCGAGTAGAGAGCCTGTCAAAGGTTAAGTACTTCTTTGGTACACCTTTCAATGACAGACACTGGCCATAGAACTTTACGATCAGCAGAGTCGAATGATGACTTAAGGCCAAGCAGTACAACAATTTTCAGACGTCGAAATGTATGCCCGTGCCCCAGAACCTACCAGTGAGAATATTTAGTCTATATATCCACAAGTTCTCGTTAGGCATCGAAGTACTATTGGATCTAATATTTTAGAAACTATATTAATTAAACCAATTCCTCTGTGTTTGTCACAAGAGGATTTCTCATGGCTTTCCTAACTTCATAAAGACTCGGAGGACTTAAATCAATTTGCCATTCAGGATGACTGGAGATCGTGGATAACCGACGTGTGCCTGAAGGCCAGTTGAATGGATCCCTAAATCGTTCTGTCCATCTATCCAATCTCCTCGATTGAGAATGAATAGTAGTCCCATCGTTTTCCGAGATAGTCTCACTCACATTTGGGTTCCTAATACCGGTTTCCTTGACAATGTGGGACAACTGTCTGCTGTTGCCTATTGCCGCTACCTTTTCCATTGCTCTGCACTTCGTTACCCATCTCTATGCACGATCATTGCGTAGGCTTTTTATGAGCCTGCCCTTAAGCTGACTCCGCTTCTCATCGAACTCAGAACCAGGCGGGATGAGCTTTCGAGCATCAATCAGTTCGGTAGATGCTACTGAAATCCAAGGCCTCTTCCTAGCCTTATGGCTTACCTTACTGGCAGATATCACTGCCGTTTCCACAGCCTTTTTGAATATCATTCCAAGCTGCCTTCAGGGTGGGCATCACTTACTACATGTCTGCCTAACTGTTTTTCTAGTTGTTCCTAAAATATATTCCTAGCTTTATTATCATTAAGTAGAACCCTAAGAGGTTCCCTTGAGATATTATTCTTAGTCCAACAGGTCTCATGCAAACATGTGCTCACACTAGAGCATGATCCGAATCTAAACATGTGCTCTAGAACGAGCAACAGTCCTCTTTTCGAGCCCTTCCATTGGTGGCTAATGACGATGTGATCTAGTTAGGTCCAGCGTCAAGACGACTTTGGGGGTCTCCAGGTCAACAGATGTTTTTCCTTATACTTAAAGTTAGCGTTTGCTAGAAATAGGTGGTTATCTGAGCATAGTTGCAACAGACGGTAGCCATTTTCTGCTCTCTGAGCCGCGACACCATAACATCCACCAAGGTGTCTCTCCTGCTCACTTAGTCTACCTACTTGAGCATTGAAGTCACCAGCCATTATGACTACATCAGAGCGCCTAGCTTTTTGGAGGAGGTCCGAAAGCTTTCTGTAAAACTCATCTCTAACCACGTCTGAACTGCATTCAGTGGGAGCGTAGGCAGATACGACGAAGAGGCAACGACGGTTGGCCCCGTCATCGAGAGTAGTAGATATTCGTAGGCTACTGGTTTTTGATCATAGGTGTGTTCAAAGCATTGCTCGTATATCCTGGGACAATCGAGTTAGCAACGCTTTTATTAGGAAACGTTTTTTACAGGTAAGAATGGCGAATCGACAGATGAAGTATACGAAACTTCATCAGTTGAGGTGGTTGGGACATGTGTTGCGTATGCCTAACCAACGACTGCTTCGACGCACTTTGTTTTGTGGTGTATAAGTAGGTTGGAGGAACGTTTGTAGCGGCAAAACCAAAACATGGCAGAAATCTATGAAGTCATTGACAAGTGGACTGAGTCATGTCGGTAGTTGTCGACTACGTGTTTGGGGTCTGCGATAGGATAATAATCGATGGTTAGCGACCCTGAATGACATGGATGAAAACCGTTCGCATTGGCGCCGGTGCATTTATATTTTGTGTTCTCTCAAATCCTAATCTTCTGGATTTTTCAACCCCTCTACTTTTGACTTTCTAGACTTTTCTCACTGAATCATACTTGAATATTATCTTCTAATCCTAACCTCTCCGATTACTTCTAATACTTTTACAACCTCTTCTACTATTGGATTTGAATTGACAATTATATCTCTGTGCTGATGTGGTATGGCGACATGAACTGATGTACTTACGTACGAAGTTCTACGTTGCATCTGACTGACTATCGGTATGAGGGCGTATATCACTTTTCGGCTGCCCGCACTGTGGAAGGTTGTTTCTTGAGGAACCTGAAAAGAAAGGTAGATTAGTGTCGGTCTTAGAGACCTGGGAGCGTGACTGCAGAGTCCAAGGGACAACTGCTTGTAGCCAGTCACTCACGGCCTTTAATGAGTTTTCAAAGTTTTAGTTCTTGTTTGAAAGGCCTTACCGCCGGAGATGGAAATCCGTGAGGTAAGGCGAGATGTCACATTTTTAAGGTTGATCTGTTCTAACCCCCTTCTTCCTTGTGAGAGGGCAGAATCGCTGCAGATGCTAGTTGTCCGGGGGGAACACCTTACTGCTGTCTCACCCCTCTCCAGTGAACAGTACGACTTCGCCCTCAGATCTTGAGTATCTGTTTTTAGTCTCGTCGTTCTCCAATAGACCTGCCTGGCATGTGTTTCAGCCAATATAGCTTTGTTGGGTCATCACAATAGGCAAGCCCGACCACCACATCAAGGTAATAGCAAAACTGTACTACTCACATACTCAATGTAAAAAACTTTGAAAAGAAGCTCTGAGAGTCATTGCTGTATCCCTAACCGTTGATCATTATCATGTGACAGATACAAACCATTAGTCAGAATTACATTCAACATCAGGAACTTTGATTCAGCTCTAAATACTTTTTGGTCCTCAACTTGGTAGCTCTTTTCTCTCTTCTCTGCCTCTCAGTCTAGAAGTCCGTTAGCTAGCCTCTACAAAGTCCGTTTTGTTTCAAGCAGATATGTTTGTTTACCAAATATACCAGACCATATCATACCATAAAATGAGAAAATACATTTACACGTAAGCAAGCCAATAATGTCCGCGAATAGAAAGAATTGTAAATAATAGACCAGCAATAGATTAGGAAAAATAAATCACACACAAGTAGGTAATGGGTCAATTAAGAGTTTATTATGACAAAGGAATATAAATATGTAATTTAGTTTTTTTATTAGTTATACAATGAGAACCCCTCAATAACAACTGGTAAGTTGTTTCTGCAAGTTACCATTTCTCGAATTTTCCTCCAGATGACAATAAGATGTCAATAAGTATTAGATCGCGCTCAATTTACTTCAAGCAACCTTAAACATCACTTTAATAATATTTATAAATACGTTTTTATTCTTTTGCTATTTTTTTTATTTCATTGTGTAAAGTTTTGTTTTTGTGTTATTCGTATTCCTAGGTAATAATATTAATTCAGAATGTTCATAAAATAATCCGGTTTTTTTTGTTTACCATATCGCGTGCTACTCTCAAAATATAAGAGCTTACAAAATACCATATGATACCGGTGAGTATTGTTACACCGCAATCTGTGGATTCAGTTGAACAGATTGGTGAACATTCCTCATCTCTATCTCTGCCATATATTCCTGTTGAGCAAGATTCAGTTCCTTACACAAACTCTCACGGTACTGTACTTATGAATGATGGTCAGAATCATCAGTCTAGTAGTAGTAGTAGTAATTATCTTACAAATCAAGAGTTACGTCTAGATTCATTCTTTCCTAACTCACCGTTGGCCAGCGTTGCTCGAGATTCTCATTGTGATGATAATAGTGAAGAACAAAATCGTATATCTAGTTTTGAATTGATTAGTCGCTTAATCGATGCTGAAGGTTTAATTGAATTGGGTTACATTCCGTCAAGTTGTAATTCAGCTTCAGCTATTGATGTAGCCAGTTTATCAGATCTTGAAGAAGTAACATCTAAAACATTGTTATGGTCTTCAAATGGTGATGATGTTACCGACTCTTTCAATTTAGATGATTTGAATAATAAAATCAATGACAGCAATACTAACAATGTTGATACTAAATTAAGAAGTGATAACAGCAAGAATTTGGAGCATCGGTCAACTCTGACGACTGAATATATATCTGTTGGTAAGTTATTGCTTTTATTCTAAAACTGAAAAAAAAAATTAAACTTTTGTATTAATTTGTGACCCAACAGTCCAGGGTACGCATTCTTAGACCACTAGTTTACCTGAGTACTATTGGCCATTCCAGAATTGACCCTACCAACTATTGTTCGTTAGGGTTTCCTATCCTTCTCATTCTTATTTGGTTTTGTCAAAGATATGGCCCTAGAGGTAGCAAACGTTTAACTATTAAAATCGATTAATAGAATCCCAATCGCTAAATTAACGCAATGATAAAATGTGGTCGACTGATAGCTGCTCACAATACCGTGTATTTGACTTCGGCCTCCAAATAATAAGAAATCAAAGACAAGACCACCAGCCAGATAAATGGTGTTCATGTAATGCGACATGCTTATATACAAATTATGAAATCAAAAATCAACATAAAATGTCATAGGAGATTGGGGGAAATTAACTTGTAGGTCCAATAGATGAAGTGTTGAAACTTCATCAGTTGAGGTGGTTGGGACATGTGTTGCGTATGCCTCAACCACCGACTGCCTCGTCGAGCTTTGTTTTGTAGTGTAGGAGTAGGTTGGAAGAAAGCTAGGGGCGACCAAACCAAAACATGGCAGAAATTCATGAAGTCACTGACAAAAGGACTTAGCCATGTCGGTAATTGTCGACTACCTGGTTCGGGTCCGCGAGATGATAATAATCGATGGTTAGAGACCTTGAACGACATGGCTCAAAATCGTTCGCAGTTTCGCAGGTGCATTTATTCTTTGTGTTCTCTCAAATCCTAATCTTCTGGATTCTTCAACACCTCTAGTTTTGACTTTCTAAACTTTTCTCACTGAATCATACTTCTTGAATATTATCTTCTAATCCTAACCTCTCCGACTACTTCTAATACCTTTACGACGTCTACTACTATTGGATTTGAATTGACAATTACATTTCTGTGCTGATGTGGTATGGCAACATGAATTGATGTACTTACGTACGAAGTTCTACGTTGCATCTGACTGACTGACTTGTAGGTCACTAGCACTTTAATCATAAGTCAAAAATATGTTTTAGGAGCAATTCGAAAAACAGTTAGTCAACCATATAAGTGATATCCACCTCGAGGCAGCTTGGAATTATATTCCAAAAGCTGTGGAAACAGCAGTGATTTCTACCAGTAAATTAAACTGAGAGTTTGAAAAAATGAATGGATTTCAGTGGTTTCTATTAATCTGATAGATACTCGGAAACTCATCCTCTCTGGTTCTGAACACAATGAAAAGCGTAATCAGCTTAAACATAGGCTGATAAGAAGCCTACTTAATGATCACGAACAGTGGTGGGTAACGAACACAGAATAAATGTGAACGACAGGCGATAGGTAACAGTAGGCCACTGTTCAAATCTATCAATAAAATTGGTATTGGTAATACAACTGTTATTGAGACTTTTGGAAAATGATGGGACCATTATTCACTCTCAATCTAGAATATTGGATCAATGGGCCGAAGAATTAAGGCAGTAGTTCAACTGGTTTTTAGCTACACCTCAGCTACCCTCCATCTGAATGACAAGTCAATCTATTCTCCAAGGAAAATGATGGGACTACTATTCATTCTCAATCCAGGAGATTGGATAGATGGACAGAACACTTTAGGGATCCATTCAACTGGCCTTCAGGCACACGTCGGTTATCCACGATCTCCAGTCATCCTGAATGGCAAATCGACGTACGTTCCCCTAGTCTTTATGAAGTTAGGAAAGCCATGAGAAATCCTCTTGTGACAAACACAGAGGAATCAATTTAACTAATATGGTTTCTAAAATATTAGATCCAATAGTACTTCGATGCCTAACGAGAACTTGTGGATATATAGACTAAATATTCTCACCGGTAGGTTCTGGGGCATAGACATACATTTCGACGTCCGAAAATTGTTGTACTGCTTGGCCTTAAGTCATCGTTCGACTCTGCTGATCGTAAAGTTCTATATCCATTGTCTGTCATTGAAAGGTGTACCAAAGAAGTATTTAACCTTATACAAGCTCTCTACTCGAACACCACTGGTCGAGTTAGAGATTATGGCGAACTGTTATCAGAATTCTCTACTTCAAGTGGTGTCCGTCAGAGATGTTCGCTTTCTCCGTTCTTGCTTCTATCTTGGCATAGACATGCTTCTAGATATAACATTATCTTCGTCTGACTTTTCAGTGGTTGAACTTTTGCCCGGAAGATTTAGCTGCTGACCTAGAATATGCAGATTATATAGTTCTACCTGGTGAAGACGCTGGCGCCAGTGCATTTATTCTTTGTGTTCTCTCAAATCCTAATCTTCTGGATTCTTCAACACCTCTAGTTTCGACTCTCTAAACTTTTCTCACTGAATCATACTTCTTGAATAGTATCTTCTAACCCTAACCGCTCCGATTACTTCTAATTCCCTTACTACCTCTAATACTATTGGATTTGAATTGACAATTATATCTCTGTGCTGATGTGGTATGGCAACATGAACTGATGTACTTATGTACGATGTTCTACGTTGCATCTGACTGACTGACTGAAGACGCTGACAAAATGCAGTGTCTCCTGACTACCCTAAGCAACAATGCAAACATGTTCGGGATGTGAATCTCCTGCTCGAGATTTGAAACATTGCTTCAGTATTGTCTTGCATCGGCACTTGAACTAGTGATAGAGAGTGAGTGAAGCGGTTGAGTGTGTTAACGGCTTCACTTATCTGGAGAGTCTCATCAGTGCTGATGGCCTGGTGACTGACGAAATCTCAGCACGGATACACAAGGCTCGATTGGTTTTTACCAACCTGCGTCACTCATGGCGTAGGCGAGATACCATCCATTTACTGACTCAAGGACGAATGTACCGCGCAGCAGTTCACTCCGTCCTACTTAGTGGCTGTCAAACATGGCCAGTTAGAGTAGAGGATATTCGTAGGTTACTGGTTTTCGATCATAGGTGTGTTTGAAACATTGCTCGTGTATCATAGGACAACTGAGTAGGCAATGTTGTCGTTAGGAAACGAGAACTAGGTAGAGATGGCAGATCGATAGATGAAGTATTGAAAGCTCATTAGTTGAGGTGGTTGGGGCATGTGTTACGTATGCCTAACCACTGACTGCCTCGGCAAGCGATGTTTTGTGGTGTATGAGTAGGTTAGAATAAAGCTAGTGATGGCCACGCCAAAACATGGCAGAAATGCATGAAGTCACTGACAAGTGGAGTGAGTAGTGTTGGCAGTTGTCGACTACCTGGTTGAGGTCCTCCAGACGATAGTAATCGACGCTTAGAGACATTCAGTTATGTTGCTGCATCCTCTGCGACTATAGGATTTAAACCAACAACTCCATCTCTGTGTGCTAATGTGGTATGGCAACTGGAACTGATGTACGTATGTATAAATTTTTATTTTGTAGCTGACTGGTTGACATTTTCGCTCTTTATTTTTTCAATTCTAATATTACTACTTTAACTCTTTTGCTATTCACCTTGTTAATTCACACTTTAGTTGTGTTGATATAAATTGTAGTGACTTTGACCGATCTTTATTTGTTCCATGTCCCCCACATTGTTCTTGACTGATTGATTAAAAAGTTGAATATACTAGTAGAATATTTGTTTTCTACCTTTGAAAGCGATTAGAAATTTCGTTAAAGGAGGATACACCTTATTAGTTTTCTACTACTCATCTACTATCTCAATTATCCAAAGCAAGAAAATCTTGCTGACCGAATTTTAAACATGCGGGATTTAGATCATGATAACAATATGTTTGAAAAATTGTAAATTCTCATAAGTAACAACAAGTAATTTGTCAGGTTGTGAGCGTATGCAGTAGTAGAACTTAAAGCCGAGTGCGTGAAAACTTGTACCTCGTCAATAAGTTACATTAATGAGGTTACGAAAGGCAACCTTGACATCATTCACAAGAAACTAGAATTATAGTTATTGATTTAACTAATAAGATAGATTCTAATGATTAAAATCATGTTTTAATCTGTATTTCTTATCGTTTTTTTTTTTCGAATCCCGTTCACAGATTTCAACCCACTGAATAGTACTAACGCTTCAGTACCTGTTATTTCATTACCATCTGATACAAATTTACAAACTCTACCGTCACTTGAATCAAACGAATATGAAAATTTCCAAACACACTATAAAACGAATACTCTATTAGATAATATTCCATCACTACCTTCTTCTAATACAGCAGTACCTGATGATCTTGGTCCAATCACCATCACTTCTTATCCTATGGGATTGATTGGGACGAATATCCCCTCAGTAACACGGCCATCCATCCATCGATCGCCTACTGACCATCATACACTTCCATCAATAATAAAACCTAATCATATACCTTATTCCTATTCTCCTCTAACTCCATTATCTGGTGTACAAATTCGTAGAAATATGCATGAAAGTAGTTTTTTAGTTGATAATCGGGTTTTTCCAGTTGATAACACTTGTAATCAGCAATTACTGATTGGATCTTTTGCTAAAACTAAGTACTCATCAGATTATCAAGAATATCCAAGTGCTCCAAAATGCATTCCTCCAGTTCAAACACTAGAGTTATTCACTACACATTCATCTGACTTACCGGATAGTTCATCTTATCCTTTGATGAGTGTTGGGAAATCGCCTAAACACTTATTAAACAATACAAAGCCTATTAGATATTCTGAACCTCTGCAAAAAACTGGTGAAAATTGCAATTCTAACATTTCTGGTCCCAATCTACCATTCATTTCTCATACTACATATTCCAGTCGGACTCATTCTTTTTCATCTTGTCCAATTAGACAACCACTTGTAACTACTCCAAGTCATGCACAACTTCACGTAAGTATACCTCCGTCTACTCAATCCATGTATTCTGCGTTCTCATGTTCACCAAATCAAAATATTTCAATATCTAGTACCGTTAATTTACCATCTACTGATTCCAGTTCAGCTACCTTAATATTCAATGGAGATTTTCGATCACAACCTATTATGGACAATAGTGATAATTTATTTTGGTCTCATTCTTCAATTCCCAGTGGATCTGCAACTAATACACAAATGACTACAAATTGGGAACATTCAGTAGTACCACATCCTGCTTATGTAATTGATTCTCAGATAACAGGTTTTCTTCCAGAAAATACTTCAATCACGGAAAAAACGATTTATGTTAAAGATGGAAATTCCATACCGGTACAACCGATAGTCGGCAGTGGACTGGTTGGCAGTTTTCAGTATTTGACACCAACTGCTATTCTTTCAAGACCAAATTATACTATTCTAAACGATCAATCGACAGTTAATCATCCACAAGAAACATTAGTTCAACCATTTCTATCACAGATAAGTGATCCTATAAAAACAACACAAAATCTTAAAGTTCCATTTTGTCAAGGGACACCATACACTTTAACTCCGGGAGTATCATCTATTCCTGTTAATCCTGAATACTCGCTTAGTCGTTTAGAAATGAATACTCAATGTTGCCCCTTTGAACTATCTAAAACAAATACAGCCGTGACTTCTCGATCACCATCATCACGACCATTTAATTCTCCTGTGCGTCGTGTAAGTTAATTTTTAAAAAGTTTTTATACTATGTTTTCTCTCATGATTTTTTGTTTCTGTTGTAAAATTGATTCCTGGTTTGTGTTTTTTTAATAATTAAACACAGGGTTCTCGTGTTTATGTTTTTTCCAAGTACAATAGATACCATCCATACAAATTCAGTGTGTTTTATCTGACAGACAATGTAACTTTGAGACGATCATCAGTAAATATTCTATATTCAGATGATATGCGTTAGTATACTTAGTAACTTCACTTCTATTTTAAAATCTTCCAAAAGTACATATCTTTGACTTTGATGTATATTTCTGTTATTATTTGATCACTCTTCTCTCAAATCCTAATCTTCTGGATTCCTTAGCACCTGTACCTTTGTCTTTCTAACCTGATCTCACCGAATTATAGTTCTTGAATAGTATCTTCGAACCCAAGTCTTCTTCATTACCATTAATACCTCTACTATCTTTATCACTATGAGATTTGATTTGACATTTGCGTCTCTGTGCTGATGTGGTATGGCAACATGAACTTATGTACACACGTACGAAGTTCTACGTTGCAACGGACAGACTGACTGATTTGATCACTCTAGATGCTTAATATATTTTGTTAGGCAGTTAGTCAGTCAGTCAGTCAGTCAGTTGCAACGTAGAACTTCGTACGTAAGTACATCAGTTCATGTCGCCATACCACATAAGCACAGAGATATAATTGTCAATTCAAATCCCATAGTAGGAGAGGTAGTAAGGGTATTAGAAGTAATCGGAGAGGTTAGGATTCGAAGATATTATTCAAGAAGTATGATTCAATGAGAAAAGTTTAGAAAGTCAAAACTAGAGGTGTTGAAGAACGCAGAAGATTAGGATTTGAGAGAACACAAAGAATAAATGCACCGACGCCATTGCGAACGATTTTGAGCCATGTCATTCAAGGTCTCTAACCATCGATTATTATCATCTCGCGGACCCCAATCAGGTAGTCGACAATTACCGACATGGCTAAGTCCACTCGTCAATGACTTCATGGATTTGTGCCATGTTTTGGTCTGGCCGCCACTAGCTTTCTTCCAACCTATTCCTACACTACAAAACAAAGCTCGACGAGGCAGTCGGTGGTCAGGCATACGCAACACATGTCCCAACCACCTCAACTGATGAAGTTTCACCACTTCATCGATTGATCTGCCATTCTTACCTAGTACCCGTTTCCTAATAACAGCGTTTCTCACCCGGTTGTCCCACTTGAAGTAGAGAATTCCTGTGACCGTTCGCCATAAGCTCTCACCCGACCAGTGGTGTTTGAGTAGAGAGCTTGTATGAGGTTAATGTACTTCTTTGGTACACCTTTCAATGACAGACACTGCCACAGAACCTCACGATCCACTGAGTCAAATGCCGCCTTAAGGTCCAGGAAAACAACTATTGTAGGACGCCTAAATGTGTGTCTGTGTTCCAGGACATGTCGTAGTGTGAAAATGTGGTCTATACAGCCACGTCCAGGTCGAAAACCAGCCTGGTTTTCTCGAGTCTGCTCTTCACGAGCTTTCGTTAAGCGTCGAAGTATTACTGAGGCCAATATTTTAGATACTATATTAGTTAGACTTATTCCCCTGTGATTGTCACAAGAAGACTTTTGTCCTTTCTTATAGATTGGGACAATCAGTGATTGAGACCAGTCGGATGGGATTACGTCCAGTTCCCAGATTTTACCTAAGATCTCAGTCAATCTAGCTGCTAAAACTGGACCACCATCCTTAAATATCTCAGGGGTCAGTCTATCAGGACCTGCAGCTCGTCCTCGCTTCAGATTTCCTAACGCTTTTTCAACTTCATTAAGACTAGGGGGACTTAGGTTGATTTGCCATTCAGGATGACTGGAGATCGTGGGTAACTGAAGAGTGGCTCGAGGCCAGTTGAACTGATCCCCAAAGTGTTCTGCCCATCGATCCAGTCTCCTGGATTGAGAATAAATGAGAGTCCCGTCATTTTCTGAGATAGTCTCACTTACACTAGGATTCCTAATACCTGTTTCCTTGATCAGTCGGAAAAGTTGTCTACTGTTGCCTATCGCCGCTGCCTTTTCCATCGCATTTGCTTTCGCCACCCACCACTGTTCGCGATCGTTACGTAGGCTTTTTATAAGTCTGCGCCTAAGTTGACTTCGTTCTTCATCATGTTCAGAGCCAGGTGTGATGAGTTTTCGGGCATCCATCAGATCGGTGGATGCTACTGAAATCCACGGCTTCATCCTAGCCTTACGGTTTACCTCGCAAGCAGATATCACTGCCGTTTCCACAGCATTTTTGATATCATTCCAACCTGCCTCCGGATGGGAATCGCTTAAATGGTCGCCTAACTGTCTTTCTAGTTGTTCCTGAAATATATTTTTCGCCTTATTATCATTAAGTAAAACCCTAAGAGGCTTTCTTACGGTGTCTTTCCTACGCCCAGTAAGCTTCAAACAAATACGCGCTCGCACTAGGGCATGATCTGAATCTAGACATGTGTTCCAGAACGAGCGACAGTCCTCTATCGAACCCCTCCATCGGTGGCTGATGGCAATGTAATCTAGTTGAGTCCAACGTTGAGACGACTTTGGAGGTCGCCAGGTTAGGCAGTTAGACTTAGTCAGAAGACATTCACCAGTCAAGTGTGCTTGTAATCCTCAGAGAACTGATGTTCTCAGACTAATTTGAACCTAAATCACCTGTATTCACATTCCAATGTTACTTCTGAACTATTCCAATCACAACTGACCTCTTACAAGACCTGATCGACAGAATTTGATCAGGTCTATCTAATAATTTATATCAACTTAATCAGAAGGGAAATTGAATAGATGTGAACACTGAAAGAAGTCAAAATAGACAATATCAACATCACAGTTAACAACTAAACATATGAGTTACAATTGAAGAGAGTAATACACAAAATTGAGAATTGAAAAGTTTGTAATAAAACTATCTACCACCACCAGGGTCCCTGTTTTGAAAGTAACGAGTTTAAAGCCCGTCTAAAGCAGTTCGGCATCAAGAGGATAGGAACTACACCGTATCATCCGCAGATAAACGGGCTTACAGAGAGAAACAGCCGGACGTTAAAGGAATGGTTAGCATCTAAAGGAGGAGATTGGGAGAAAGAGTTACCATTGATTTTGCTGATCCCAAAGTGTGAAGGACCGTACGTTATCACGGAGAGACGCGGCGCGGTTTACACGATCCGGAGAGAAGACAAGCAGAAACGCGTAAATGCTAGTCAACTGCAGAGATGGTTTCAAGATTATCACGAAAAGCACCAAAGATGACAACGGTACGGTAATCAGAAAGACTACGACGACAGCTTATTAAAAGGGGGGACGAGTGTGGTGCGCGCTACTTATAAGTAGTATATGACGCAAGTGAAAACGTAGTGTCTGGCAGCAGAAGATGGGGGAAGATCATGAAACGAGGAGTGGGAACACAATGGAATTTGTATGAAACGCATGAATAGTGAAATGTCAGACAATGGATTGATGATGGATTGAAGATTTGCAAATTAACAGTTACGATATGGTTTTCCTATTTTACTGAGTAACTCTGTAATTTTTCGATTAAATACAATTCGGTTGCCCTCATCTGCGTTCTCCTTCACTACATTTGGTGTCGCTGCCTGCACGAAGGAAGGAGCTCCCGTGGCCGAAGGAGTTTGAGGCCGTGGTGGGGCTGGTGGGTGTGAAGGGGCCCGGGGCGGAGTTGGTGGTGCTGGGGACGCTGCGGGGAGGTGAGGCAAAGGCTGTATACGACAGCTTGGACGGTGCCGCCGGGAAGACGGCGTGGGAGACGGTCACGGAGCGAATAGTGACGGAGGCCTAGTGGACAGGGAGGAGGCGCCGCAGAGGTTCCGGTTGGCGAGGTTGTCTGTCGATTGTGACTCACTGGTGCTGGCTGTGGAGCTCACGATGTTGCTGCGCCGTGCGGATGGATGGGGAGTCGGGGGCACAGTTGTTGGCGTCGCGTTGATTATTATTATTATCATTATTATTATTATTATTATTATTATTATTATTATTATTATTTTATTGTCACAATCTTTCAAATTTACACCAATCAAACAGTACACCCTTTCAATTCTTATTCTAATAAAATTGCCTTACCAGAAGATTAAAATGAGTTAATATTTTTTAGTAGATATCACTACATAAAACCCTACTAGTTAGTAGAAAACAACATTGACAATTTCTATGTTAGTGTTAGCATTAACGAGGAACAGCAAGCATAATAAATAATTCAGTAAATCAGTTCGACTTATTGATTGTGATTTGTTTACTTTCAGAAAGTAAGTGGATTGGTGTAAAACACATTAATTTATTGATTAATTAATTGTAAGTCTTATTTGTAAGTCAACTAAATTCACATAGTTTTTAATTTAAGTTCGAACTATTACTATGTATATATATATATAGTGTATAATAAATCAATAAAATAAATTAGACAATGAATTTGAAATGGTAGAGTCTAGTTTTAGTTCTAGTTTATCGAATTTTTGTGTAAAAATACCGTTTCATATGCCTATCATTATTTTCCATTTCTCTTTGCATTATATTGACTTACATTGAAACAACAGTATGCATGATCAAAACAATCTACTATCAAATAGAGAGGAGACCATACATGGAAAACGTGTATGTTATTTCTTCGTTGAAGAAGACATCAAACGATGATGTAGCGCGAAATCGATCTTAGTTATTACTTTGTTACATCATTAAATCCTGATATTTTTAATTATGATTCCAAATTTTGTCTCCCGACCGAAGCTGCTACCTTGACGTGGTGGTCGGGCTCGCCTATCTTGATGATCCAGCCGAGCTATATTGGCTGGAACATATGTTCCTCAAGGTTCTGCCATGCCAGGGAGGTTGATTGGAGAGCGATGAGACTAAAAGCAGCTACCCAAGGTCTGAGGGCGAAGTCGTACTGCCGACTGCAGAGGGGTGTGACAGCTGTAAGGTGTTTTCATCAGACA